GCAGGAGTGATTCAAGGCAGACACAGGGGAGAAGGCACAAGAAGGGGAGTCAGCAATGTGGCTATGGAGGTCTGGGTTGGGATGATGAGGCCACAGGTCAAGGAATGCCAGCAGCCACCAGGGGCTGGAAGAGGTGAAGATCGATGCTACATGCTCGTAGGGAGCGTGACCCTGCTGACACGTTGATTTTGGACTCTGGCATCCAGAACTGTGAGAGAATATGTTTCTGTTGTTTTAACCCGGTTTTGTGACAGCAACCCCAAGAAGCAAGTACAGTGGGGCAGTGCTCTTCAAAGACGGAGACCTGGAGATTTAGCCTTTTGTCTTCTCTCTCTGCTCCTGTCCAGGGCGAGGCAGCAATTCTTGATAAACATGCCTACTTTGCAGACCAGAATTTTCTCTCACGTGGGCTATCTCAAAGTCTAGACTGGGGAGTGGGAACGGAAGTGGCAGGGCTGAGAACATTCATAGGCCCCTTTGGTCATTTACTGTGGCCACATCCTGCAACCCGGCTTCATCAGGATAAAGCTCAAATTCTGAGCTCCATCTGTCTGATCCTCTGCATTTGTCGATGGTGACTGAAGAGAGGGGTGTTTTTATAATTCCCCTTAAAAGCCCCAACAGAATGCATAGGAGAGGGGTCTGTGGACTGGCTCCTTTGTAGACAGGAGTGGCCTCCCAGGACCCCTACCTGAAGAAAGGCAGGGGTGGAAGTTAATTGTGCTCTGGCACAAGACTGCCTGGGTTCAGGTGGGAGCTCTGAACTTTTAGCTGTGCCACTGGGTGCAGATTCATTTTTCTCCCTACTCAATTCTTCCATCTGTAAAACAGAGACAAACAAGAGCTCCCTCTCTCATAGGTGTGAGCATTAAACAAATGAATTCATATAAAGCGCTTCAGACAGCTTAAGCACCAAGACTCACAGCAAGCCCGCGATAGATGGAAGCTGTAATGCTCTAGAAAAATAGTCTAGAGAAATGGAAAAAAAGAAGTTGCTATCAGATGCAGATATAAATTCTCGTTCCCTAGATGCACTTGGGTAAAACTAAGCTGCATTTCAATATCTGCTGAGGTGACCAGAAATGATTCAAAGCCTTGGGGGAGGGAGGTGAGGAAACAGGACATCACAGGGATTTGCAGGGGGAAGCCTGACTAATAAGACTCACGTTTCTGCCATTAAGGGAAACCGTGCAGCAGGGGCATGGGCAGTGCAGCAAAGAGGGCTTTGCCAGCTTCACATACATGTGTGTGAATTAATATAATGTTAAACTTACCAGTACAACATCAGGCAGAGGTCACATTCCATCATTTCCAATATTCAGAAGTTCTGGGAAAGAGGGGAGGATCATTTATTCATTAACTCAACGCATATGTATTGAGCGCCTGCTATGTGGTTTTTATCAATGTACTCTTCTGGCAGAGCACATAGTAGGTACTCCATAAGTGTCCATTAAATGAATGAATGAAATTATGAGTAAGTGGGTGAATAAACTGTCTCAGCAAGTGAAGAGGTGTGTCCCAGATACACAAAAGTTCTCAAACCACAGCACATAGCATTAAAAAGGAGACAGATATAGAACCTAAAAAAACGCATGCACACCGTTTCCTACTATAGGAAGTGCAGGGAGGAGTAGTACGGGCCAAGGTGTCCCTTCTTAGCAGTGTCCCTCTTAGCCATGAGAGCATGCATTTTGCAGATAAATTATATGCATAGGAAGAGGTAACAAAAACTTCAGGGTCATTCAACATCCCTTAACCTCTGTGCTTGCTCTCGCCTCCTCCTGGAGCAGCACCCAACCCAAAGCCCAAAAGACGATGCATGTGATGAGACGAGTATTGGGTGTTCCATGCAACTAATGAATCAATGAACACTACATCAAAAACTAAAAAAAAAAAAAAAAAAAAAAAAAAGACATTAAGAAGCAACAGGCAGAGATGCCATCCAGGAAACCGATGAACATGACCTCCCAAGAGGAGGACCCCATGAGCACATCTCAGGACCCTTCCCTTGGGCATGCTATGGTCTATATGACTGTGTGCTTCCTGTCATGATGCTGATGTGGTACTGTTTTGATGCAAATCAGGATAAGAAGTACCTTGACTAAAGTTGCTCTTTTCTTTTGAGGTCTGTTTGCAGCCTGTTTACTCCTCCAGGGACATTCTGAGTTTGGTTCCAAGAATGTATTTCCAGATTATAAAAAGATTTTTTTAAAAACGTTGGCCGATAGGAACTGCTACAACACACAGCAGCACGGGGCTAGCAGAACCCTGACCATAAGCGAAATCTTGGGGTGTGGGGCAAAGGTTCCAGCGGAAAAGAATTTCTGGGAGGGGGGAGCCTTTTGTAGAGGAAACACCATGTAAATTCTTACTCATTGCAGTGCGAGTTTGACACTTAATCCCAGGACTCTAAGATCATGACCTGAGTCAAAGGCAGACGCGCAACTGAGTCACCAGGTGCCCCACCCTCAAACTTTCTAAGCACAGCATATGCATCTCCAAGAGGCAACTTTATCCTAAGGGATTGACTTCAAACACAAGGATGCTCATGTTGTTATGGACCCCTTTGTTCAATGCTGTGCTTCTCTTACTAAATTATTGCTTATGACCAGGCAGAAAGAAACCTGGCTGATTACCACATGAGGATGGGGATTGTTTGGATTACCACATGAGGAAGAGCAAGATCTTTTGCCATAGTAGCAATAGTATTTACTCTGTGCCAGGCACTGTGCAAGGTTCTGGGGATGCACAGGGCTGTGGATAAGACCCAGTCCTTGCCTTCTTGGAGGTTACAGGCTAGAGCTCATGACACATGTGAAATGAACCATTAAGATTTGAAGCAGAGAAGTGTCATGTTCATATTTGTATTACTAAGATCACTCTGGCTATGTGGCACAGAATGCATGACCAAGGGGCAGAGATGGATTCAGGGACACTAGTTGGGGTGAAAATAGCAGTGGTGGCTCAGATGAGAGACAATGGCTGCATGGGAGAGAGAGTAGTGGATGGAATTAAAAGATATTTGGGGTGGAACTGGCATGAATTGGGTATGGATTGGAGGAGAAGAGCTCAGGGACAGTACTCCTTATTTCAGACTTGACAAACTGGGTAGGGGGAGTACGATTTGCAGAAATACAGAATAGTGGGTGAGAAGCAGCTTGTTGGGGAAATGATCAGCTCTTTTAGATGTAGTGCAGGATAGAGTGTATTGGCTCACCTGATCTCTATTCTAAACTCCTTCTAGTGGCCCATCTTGTACTCTGGAGTCTCGACAGCCAAAATTACATTTCCCACACTCCCTTGCAATTAAAGCTTCAAACGTGGCATAGGTCCATCGATATAGTCATCAATGTAGTATAGGTCAGCTATACTCATGAGAATCTTGGATTCAAAGTGGAGACAGCAGAGCCGAAAGCATCCATACTGCTGATGCAAATCAAGCAGGTATAAGAGCCTCTAGATCAAGTGATTTCGGCCATAGCTGCCTGACAGTTTCGTCAGAACTAAGCTTATATTCAGGACAGCAGGTTTCTAATTCCTCAGCTTCCTGTTGTGGCAAAGATAGCACTTCTCCGAGAGGGTTAATTCTGCAGTGTTATTCTGGGTGTCATTCCTGGGCACCTCACCCAGCACCTCACCCAGAGCCTTATCCAGTCTTTCCAAAAATTGTTAAGCATGCAATTCGCTGTAGAAGTCCCTTTTTGTTTAGAATGTCTAGAATGGCTCATGCTCTCAGCAACTGCAACTTGACAGATATAGAAGCAATAAGTCTGAACCTGCCAGACGGCCAGATATAAACACGTGGATGGCACTACAGACATCTGTGTTCCCAGGGGCTTGGGGTCCCTGGGGGAGGTGGCTCGGTGTGCAGTCAACCTTGAAGTGGGACCAGGTCCTGCTCCTGCTCCTCACCTGGGTGCTTCTTCACACGCCTATCATTCGTCGGGAAGGGCAGGACCCTTTCATTCTGGACAATGGAATAAAACACACTATCACACATGTTGCACACAGGATAACTGGAGAATGTTCTTTTCTGGGAGAGTATGAGACTTTTCTTACACTGAGGAAAAGCTGCTCAGCCTGAGGCCTCCTGGTTTGCTTCCATGGAAAGGAAATTATTGGCTTGTAAAAGAACATTCCTGAATCAGCCCTGAAAGAGCATCATTCACCGTCTTGTGGGCTACATATTTCATCTTGCCCTCTTGATTGTCTAAAGGTTTATTTTTTTAATTTAATTTAATTTTATTATGTTATGTCAGTCACCATACAGTACCTCATTAGTTTTTGATGTAGTGTTCCATGATTCATTGTTTGCGTATAACACCCAGTGCTCCATGCAGTACATGCCCTCCTTAATACCAATCACCGGGCTAACCCACCCCCCCACCCCCCTCCCCTATAAAACCCTCAGTTTGCTTCTCGGAGTTCATAGTCTCTCACGGTTCATCTCCCCCTCCGATTCCCCCCCCCTTCATGTTTCCCTTCCTTCTCCTAATGTTCTCCGTGTTATTCCTTATGTTCCACAAATAAGTGAAACCATATGATAATTATTTTCTCTGCCTGACTTATTTCACTTAGCATAATCTCCTCCAGTTCCATCCATGCTGATGTAAAGGTTGGGTATTCATCCTTTCTGATGGCTGAGTAATATTCCATTTTATATATGGGCCACATCTTTATCCATTCATCTGTTGAAGGGCATTTCAGCTCTTTCCACAGTTTGGCTATTGCGGACACTGCTGCTATGAACATTGGGGTGCATATGGCCTTTCTTTTCACTACATCTGTATCTTCGGAGTGTTTAGGTTTAAAACAAAATTTTTTTTTAAATCATAATTTGTCACTTATTTTAAAAGCTTCATGGAAGTTGAAAGGGGTTTTTCTTTATAAGAGAGTGTCAATGTCGACAAAGGTGACCTCCACCGTCCCTGCAAACAAAACTGGAAGAACCTGGCCATACCCACTTCTGACACTTTCAAAGTGCTTAGTAAGTAAGGCTATAGGAACCTGTTGGTCCACACTCCACAAAGCTAAACATCTCCAGATGATCATATGTGATGTGGTTGCTACAGACACAGCCTCTGTGGGACTCAAAATGTCACAATTATTTAAAGGAACCCTAGCAAATGACCCTAAAAACAAGCATGTACACACACACACACACACACACACACACACACACACACACACTGATACACCCTAACCCAATCAGAGCTCCAAAAAGCACCACAACACTGCATTGCATACAAGTTCCTTTAATCTAAAAACCAGAAGTTCTCAACCTTGGCTGCACATGACAATTCCCTGGGGGGCTTTTGAAATACTGATGCCCAGAACCCACCCCTAGAGGTTCCAATTTAATAGTTCTGGGGTGGGGCAGGGTGACAACCTGTCCCTGTTTGCTCGGGATGGATGGGTCCCAGGATGTGGGACTTTCAGTGCTAAAATGAAGGGCATCACAGGGATCCAGGACTAGTTGGTCACGCTGGGTGGAGATGGGTGTTCTCTTTGTAAATGTCCCTTGTGATTCTAATGTGAGTTTGTGTTGAGAGTCACTGGTCTAAATCTTTAAACCTTAGTCCACACGCTAGGACAGGTGACCTAAGACTTGAAAAAAATATTATTCTTTTGTAGAGGATTCTTTTTAAACACTATGACTACTCAAGTACTCCTTGTAAATAAGGAGTCTGGCCAAATGGCACTCTTCCCTCCCCCCTGGAGAGTCCCAAGGGAATCAACCCATCCAGGGGGCATCTTGCCTATTTCATCTCACTGGGCTCAAATCCACACACTGAGCCCCTCTGCCCAAGTGGGGAGGCCTTACTAAGTTGATTATTTTGTAATTTCAGAAGCCTCTGGGGGAGATGTTTGCCCAGAAGACCAGCATTCCAAACTGGGTCACGGCAAGCTGGAGTCTTCATCAGTCCTAACCAGCTGGAGATGCCAAGCCGACCAGATGCTCCTCTTCCGTTACTTCCCAGTCGGCTTTCAAATGACTGGTTTCCATCCAACAAGGCTTATAATAATGACTTGTTTATATCATCCATCTTCCTCCTGAGTAGCTGAGCTGGGAGTGAGAGAAGAGCATATATAGCCAGGAAACTGCAAGACGCACAGCGATTCTCAACCCTGGTATCCTCTTCAATCACTTGGGAAGCTTGTAAAAATCTAGATGCCCGGGCCCATCCCCAGTACAATCCAGTCAGAATCTCACGGGGTTGGGACCCAGGCAGTAGTTTCTGAAAGCTCCCGCAAGTGACTGTAACATGTAGCTGAGCGTTAGAACCACCGCTTTGGAGCCCTAGTTCTCAGAGTGTGTTCCCGGGCCAGCTGCCTCAGCCACACCAGGAACTCATTAGAAATGCAAATTCTCAGGTCCCATGCTGGTCATACTGAATCAGAAATTCTGGGGATGGGTCCCAGCAGTTTTAAAGAGCCTTCTAGGTGATTCTCATGCATGATAAAGTTTGAGAACCAGTTTAGATGATAAGGCGATATTTTTTTTAAAAATCTGCTGAGGTGTTTAAACTGCCAACTGTTGTTGCCTCTTATTTCCTGGTCTGCAGCAAAACCTGACTCCCCTTTTCAATGACTCTCAGTAATAAAGCAAGAAGCCCCGGCTCACCAGGGATGAAAAAAAAAACAAAACACAGAAGACACACCTGGGCCTCTACTGTTATTTCTGGACCAGAAGCCGACAAAGCAAAATAATCTTATGAAGCAATGGAGGCAAATTATTTGGTTGCCTATAATTCAGTCATCTGCTTTCATATTGTCTTATAATGGGCAGATTTCTAGACTTTACCTACTGTGTCTTCATCTTACAAGCTTGGAGCTGCCAGAAGAAAATTATGCCCCAAACAGGTTTAATTAGAGAGATACTGGGTTGGAGCTCCCCAGGGAAATCCTTGATATTACAGGATGGGGATGTTTATGATGGAGAATTGAGGGTGGACAACCTAAATTCACTCTAAGCGAGCAAGGTGGAGGGCAGCAGGGGAGGGTGGAGAACTGGGAAGGTGAAGAACACAAGGTGGTCAGCAGTGATCTGACCCAAGAGAAAGGAAAGCAAAGACGACCTGTTCTCCAATCTAGGGAATTAGTGAAATTTCAGGATCTGAGGTCTTCTGGCCCATGAGTGACTGAAAGGCACAAATGAGTATTGTTGAACTGGGGAAGTCCAAAGGCCTGTCCTCTCCTGTTCTCACACCCCCTCTAATTTATAGACCCAAATCACGGGAGAAGACGAAAGACTTTGTGTGCGCATTGGTCAGTTCTTACAAGCTGGGTGTCCAGAATGTAATTTTTTTCTAAGTAAAAATCAAAAGAATACTAGATGGTGAATTAATGCTTATTCAGACACTTACTCAATTATTATGTATTTTAATTCTCATAACAATATTAAGTATTACGGACCTCTATTCCAAATGAAAAACCGAGGGTCAGGGACGCTAAGCAAACAACTTCCTCCCCCAGTAGTTAAATGACAGAGCTAAGATTCTAATCGAGGTCTGTCCAACCCCAGGAACTATGTTTGCTTCCTTGGTCCAGAAAGAGGTAGACTAGGGTCCAGAGGGGTGTAGTCAGTCAGCGGTGCTACATCCAACTACAACACAAATGGTGAGTCAGGAACTTTGCTCCAACAGGGAGACGTGGTTGAGTTCTGTACATCTTGTGACACCTTCTATCCCAGACTAGGTTTTCGAGGATGTTTATTTAACAGAGATAGAGGTCTCTTCAGGAAAGAGGGCAAATTTGTTTCCGGATCAGGATAAAAATGAGATAATATCTCCCTCCAGAGATTATGGTGTGGGCAAGTTTGCTAGTGCCCCCCCCCATAAGAGTGGGGGTTTCAACTTGAGCTTCCCTAGCTGTGACACAGATCCACTGTGTGAACACTGCCCATCTGCCTCGGCCTGCAACCCCACTGGGACTTGGGGGACACGGAGGATTGGTATGGCTGTGAGTAATAAAGTCCTTTATCTCTGACCCAGGAGTCTCCTGTCTTCTACAGCATCTAGGAAACCATGGCAGGTTAACTTGTTAGTGTGCCAGTAGGGTAAAACCTCAGAGCTGGCACAGTCCTTGGCATGGACTCCTACACCTCAGTATACCGAGGTAGTAGCTCATTGTACTCCCTCTGTGCTGAATGATTGCAGCCAGCTGACTAGAGTTTACCTGTGAGCCTCCCACTCTCCTCACGCTTTCCCTCACCCCCCTTGCTGTGATTACTGAATCTGAGCAGTGACTAGAATTGACAGGCGGGAATTAGGAAGACAGCCCCAGCAGATGTTGACTTCAGGGAGACCTGAGGCTGACATGTGTACCAAATTGAAACTTCACTGTCACTGAGTCGCAGAGTGAAAGTGACTTCAGTTGTTCGGGTCACTTTCCACTCAATGGGGCAAACTTCTTTAGAACCTCTTGTCATCCATTCAAGATGGAAGCTCATACCTAAAAAGGGAAGTGAAAGTGATATAATATTTACCTGCTTACGATTTCTTCTCCCTTGTTCCAGTCTTGTCCTCTGAAGACACGTAGACTAAGACACTACGCCACTCCCATACCCCAACGTCCCCTTACTCCAGGTACCCATTTTCCAATCCACCCACACTCCTTCTTGAACACTGTGATCAGGCTCCTTACGATTCTACTCATTCTCCTCTGGATATGCCCCTTTTGGTCCATCTCTTTGTCTAGGTCCTTAAAGAAAAATTATTTGGTCTTTGAAGAGGTAATGCCTGCACACCATATAGAATTCAAGAGATACGAATATGGTTTCCTCCCCTCAGCCCCCAGCCACCTGCTCCCCTCCTCCAACTACTCTTACTTGTTTCTTAGTCTTTCTTCGAAAGATATTCTTTATAGATTCGATGTTCATTAAATGGGCTGGACATATAGGACACAACCAGAAAGCAGCTTTACTTTTTTTCCCCATTACTATCTTTAAACACAAACAGCAGAAGTTTGTCTTCTCACTTCTTGCTAATGTTCTCAGCCCAAATTCTCTAGGCATTAAAAGGCCTATTCAAGGGTCACCCAGGTGGTTCAGTCAGTTAAGCATCTGATTCTTGATTTTGGCTCAGGTCATGATCTCAGGGTCATGAGATCAAGCCCCGTGTCAGGCTCTACGCTCAGCATGGAATCTGCTTGAGATTTTCTCTCTCTCTCTCCCTCTGCTTCTCACCCCGCTTGTGTGCACACACACACACACTCTCTCTCCCCATCAAAGTAAATAAATAAAATCTTTTTTTTAAAAAGGCCTATTCAAGTGTAAGATTGAAGATTCAGTCTTACATTGAATTTAATGCTTCTCTCTTCCTTCTAGCTCAGACTGCACCTTCAGAAGTGGGGCACGGGTTGTCACTTCACTCTGCATCCATCTCCTCTCGCTGCTGCTTCTGGTTCCTCTGGATTGGGGTGGAGGAAGAGGGGTTAGGGTGGGCAGAGTTTGCCTCCATGAGCCCTGTTCTATTGATCATTGATACCCTGTGTGACCAAGGGCTATGCTCTATGTAGTCTCATAACAGGGCACATAGTAGGTGCTCAACAAGTATTAAATGAATGAATAAATTTGTAAATGGATGAATAAACTCAGCAAATTAACAGATGTGCTGAGATTGACAAAAGATTGCAGTAAAGGACCAAAAATGTGCATGTATGGCTCTGCTCACTGCAGCAAGGTCCAGGGAGGAAAAGTGATTAACACTGTGTTCAAGCTATCACTCTAAACCAAAAATGACCTTTTAGAAACTGTAATATCCAGGACTGTGTTAACATAACACTAGTGTAGAAGATAATGGAACCCTGTATTAATACTCCTTATTTTGAAATTTATAGTTCTCAGGCAGGTTCTCACCTCTTGCACATAAATAGACATTTTTTTAGCCTAAAGGCATACTTTATGTTTACTTTTACTAAATTTATCTTTTTAGTTTGACCTATTGTTTCCCTCTCTTGAGATCTCTTTGATATTTACCTATTATGCAATATATAGTTGCTCCTCCAAAATTTTTCATCCAGAAATGTAAGATCATCCACAAGTTTAAGTGAATAAAAATATTGACCAAATATGAAGCCATTAGAAATCCTCCTCTAGGTTGACATATATTCACTTTTCACAATAATAGCATTCTTTACTTTCAATATCAGTTAAGATTAAATTAACTCTCCAGAACTGTGTGTGGAGGACTCTATGACAACCCAAATGCGGACCCCTGGGTCAGGTGGGCCACAGGCAAGTTCACCCTGCAGCAGGTGGATTTTGTCCTTGAGGTCTTCCTGCCTCTCTGCGTTCCAATCAGACCTTTTAAGACATCTGAGATGCCCTTTTTCCCCATGGCAGAAGAAACAGCCTAAAATTCTTATTCACCCAAGGTGTTCATCTTCTCCAGGTTTTTAAATCTCAAAGGATGAAGAGAAAAGACTCTTTCATGGCAGAGATCCACACCATCTGCACCGGATGGGAGAGTTTTGGCATGCGGGTTGGTCCTCCTGGATGTCGCCCACATGACGCGACTGTTAACTGCCCAGTCCTCTTGTGGCTTTCATTACTCACAAAAACCGAAAATTCCAAAAGAGATGTGATCTGCTTGACACCTTTACCGGGGCAACAGTTGTGACAAGACAGATGAGGGCACAGTAGCCCTGTTCTATTGCTCACACATCTTGATTTTTTTTTAAAGTGTCAGCCACCCTCAGGATCAGGGCTGGCTGCCCTCACGCACCAGATTTTCATCACTGGAGCACAGGCATCTGTGACTGCACCAGCCCCACCCTCATCTCACTCAATGCTTTTCAAGTCCTCGGGAGCCCTGAGGGAACCTCTGAGCACCAGACTCTTGCTCAACCAGTAGGACTGGATTGAAATGATAGGTAAGGTTTCTCACGAGTGCTTATTGCTGCTGGCTCAAAATTGATCTCAATGGGTCTTCTTAGGAAAAAATCTTGGGAAGCTAAGGGGAGGAAAAGAAGGGTAGGAGAACTCTAAGGAACAGGAGGGTTGAGTTGGTGGGAATATAGTCACTCTGGACTTTTCATCTTGACGCCTCAACTCGACAGCCAGGAGATTCGTTCCTCATGAAGCACAGGGTGAGCAAGTTTGACTCTTCCCTGAGATCCAGGAACCAGGTGTGGGGGGAGGTATGGCTAGCTATGTTGCAAACTAATCTGCTAAAATTCCTAAGAATTAGCAAAGTTGCTAGAATTGAGGAAAGCCCATTAATGCAGAGCACCTCATGCACTAATGTACACGCCAGTCACACGGAGATCTTGTTAAAATGCAAAATCTGGTTCAGTGAGGCTGGTTGGATTAAGACCCAATGTTCTGCATTTCCAGCAAGCTTCCAGGGGACACCGAAGCTGCTGGTCTGTGAACCACACCATGTAGTAGCATGGACACACCTGAGTAAGCTGTAACAGCTGGAGCATCTGTTAGGGCCACGGCCACTGTTAGGGAGTAAATGTGTCCCGCCCCCCCCACCCCATTCACATATTGAAGCCTTGACCCCTTAGTGGTGGGGCTTCTACAGGAGTAATTAAGTTTAAATGAGTCCTAAGGGTGGGACCTTGATCCAATAGAACTCATGTTTTCACAAGAAGAGACAGAGAGGGATGCCTGGGTGGCTCAGCCAGCTAAGCTCCGACTCTTCAATTCAGCTCAGGTCAGATTCTCATCTTAGTGAGATTGGAGCCCCGTGTCCAGCTCCGTGCTCAGTGTGGAGTCTGCCTGAGGTCCTCCCTCTCTTTCTGTCCCTCCCCCTGCTTGCTCCCTCTGTCTCTAAATAAATAAATAATAAAATAGAAAAAGAAGAGACACAGAAAGCTCCCTCCCACTCCCACCCTGTCCCTAGCATGAGCACAGAGGAAGGGCCATTTGAGATATAAAGGAGAAACTCAATTTCCCACCAGATCTCCTTTACTTTTTTTTTTTAAAGATTTTATTTATTTATTAGAGAGAGAGAGCCAGAGAGAGAGCACAAGCAGGGGGAACAGCAGAGAGAGAGAAATAAGCAGGCTCCCTGCTCAGTAGGGAGCCTGATGTGGGGCTCGATTCCAGGACCCTGGGATCGTGAACTGAGCCGAAGGCAGATGCTTAACGGATTGAGCCTCCTGGGTGCCCCAGATCTCCTTTACTTTTATAAAGAATGCTCACACAGTGTTCTGGTCACCAAATATGTGAATGTGTGGAGGTTTTTCTCCACACCAAGCAATTCCTTGCAATACTAGCTGGGTGTCCTACAGTTTAACTCAACTCTGATACTCTACTTGGAGAGAGTGTCAGATCCCACAGCTTAAGGGCTCCGTCCCATAAGATCATTTCCATCCTACTTCTGATGCCGATTGCAAGTAGCAGGTCCCCAGGTCACCCACAACTTCTGTTCCACTTGGCTACAAATTGGAGGTTCTTATGACCCCCTCCTCAGTTTTGATTAATTTGCTAAAGAGTCTCACAAGAACGCAAGGAAACACTTAACTTACATTTACCAGTTTATTAAAGAATATGATAAAGGACAGGGATGAAAATCCAGCTGAAGAGATACAAAAGACAAGGTCTGGGAAGGTCCTGAGCACAGGAGCTTCTATCCCCATAGAGTTGGGGTGTGTCATCTCCCAGTGTGGATATGTTCATCCTCCCGAAAGCTCTCTAAACCCGGTACCACTGAGCCTACCCCAAGGCTTCCTCACGTAGGCATGATCAGTTATTAACTTCACATCCATCCTTCTCCCCTCTCTCTGGAGGATGGCCATGTATGGCCAAAAATTCCAAGCTTCTAATCATGGCTTAGTCTTTCTGTTGGCCAGCCCCCAACCAGGCGCTTCCCAGGAGCCCACCCAGGGTCACCTCAATAGAACAGAACATACTCCTAGTGCTCTTATCATTCAGGGAATTACAAGGGTTTTAGGAGTTCTGTGTCAAAATCTGTGGTCACAGACAAATATTAGAACAATAGATGCTCCTAGTGTTGTCATCACTTAGGTAATTACAAGGATTTCAGAAGCTCTGTACCAGGACCTGAGGGCAGAGGCCAGGGTATATATTCTATGACCTCACATGAAGACATGGCAAGAAGGTAGTCATCTATAAGTCAGGGAGAGAGCTCTTGCCGAAAACTGAAGATGATGGCACCTTGATTTTGGACTTCCATCTTCCCCAACTGCGATGAAATAAGTATCCACCATATAACCCACCCAGTCCACGGTATTTCACCATGACAGCCTGAGCAGACAAATATCGCCACTATGGCGCCCATCTCAGACGTTCTGACCTTATAAAATTTAGGAGTTCTGGAGAATCAGAAAGATTCCTGTGCTCTATGACCTGACAAGTGACAAGGTCTAAGCCCAGACAGGCTGGCTGCTTCCTGTACCTTATCACACCATTATGCACCAATTCACTCTTCCATTAAGTCAGTGGATCTCAACCTTGGCTGCACATTAGAATAATCTGACAGCTTTAAAAATACCCAGGCCTAAGTCCCACTCCTGCAGACTCTTATTGAATTCATTTGGTGTGCAGCCTGGGCATCAGGATTTTTTTTTTTTTTTTTAAGGTTCCATAGTGATTCTAAGGTTGAGAGTCACTGCTCCAAGTGAACAAATTAGGAGCAAGAAAGGGGTTACGGTCAGCTAGTACTGACTGCTGGGGAGAAGAGTATAGCTGTCTCTGTGTAGGTGTGGGCATGAGGAGGGGGGGTGTTGCAGAGCAGGGAGCAGAGACCATCAGAGTCCCAAAAAGGAACAGGAAGTGGTCAGGTTAATTTTCTGCAAACGTTCTGGCCTGCTCCAGAAGTCCTGTCTCCTCTGTGACAAAAGGTTAAAGAACCTTCAAAACCAGGGTGTGGAATGTGTCCCTTCAGTTAGTGAGAAGTAAGGCTCTGCTGGGTAATTGGAGACCTGGACAATTAAAGAAGGCTCCCCAAATAGTCAGTGCCAGCCTCCCGGCCAATGCAAATCTCCTCTTCTGCGTTCTTCTGACATAAGATTGCATTTCCCCTAAAAATGCCAAGTTGCAGTTGCTATTCTGGGAGACAGCACCTCACAAGGGATAGGGCTGTCTATTCTACTTCTTCTTGGAAGTAGCTGAATTACTCTCTCCTACCCTGGGTCACCAGAGTCACATGGTCCTCAAAGAGCACATTTAAATTGGGACAGCAAAGGAAAAGCAACAGCAAAAGGAATGATGTCCCTTTCCTTCATTTATTTGTTTCATTTGTATTTGCATGTACCCATGTGGAACCATAATGCTCCTACCATGTCACGTTACGTACACCTCAGTAATCTCTGGACCTGGGTTAAGTGTTCTGTAACTGGGCTCCATTTTTTATCCACAACTCAGGAACAAGAGAATTCTAACACCCATCTGCTTACTTGTGGAGTTCACCAATCCCACTTGGCAATCTTCAATGCACAATGCCTGGATTTACTGCACTAGGTGAAATGGTGTATCCACATAGAAGACATGTTTGTGGGTTGGACTTGAGATCCCACAGATGGCAAACATCTCTAATTCAGAGGCAATTTGCCTTCTACGTGGCAGGGACAGGAAATTGCATATCCAGCACCTGCTATGGAGCAAACATTTAACACACGGTATCCCATTTAATTCTTATAGCAACCCTGTGAGAATAAATATTATTATAATTTTATTTTGTAGCTGAGGGAACTGAAGCTCTGAAATGTTAAGTAATTTCTTTGCCCAAGGTCTTGGGCAGTATTAGAACTGGGTTTGATGGTCTGGCCATGACCTTCCAAGGGCTCCTAGAAAAAGCCTGGTCCTCTCCATTTTATGGGAGAAGGAATTAGGTTCCAAGTGTAGCCTGTGGAAGGTTTCTGAACAGCAACAGTGTCCAGCTTGCTTGGCTGCTGTGTATCTCTCCATGATCTTTGGGGTTTTGTTTTGTTTTGTTTTTTTTCCCCAAGACAGTCATGAGCCTCATCATTGTTGGAAGTCACCTCACCATTCATGGCATCCGATAGGGCTGGTGGATTGGTTCCCAGAATCCGCAGTCGTTGCTGGGCTTTAGGATAGAGCCCTTCTTTTCTTTTATCCTTTCAAAGACCTTTGCAGGAAGCAGTTAAGCAGACCTAAAATTACATGTGAAATCAGAGGACTTAAAAAAAGTCTCTGAGTTTTTTATCTGTCTTCTAGCAACAAAATATAAATGTGAGGACTTTTCCTGTTCCTGAAATTTACAGCCCCCTCTCATCAGCGTCTGGTGCCAGCTTCACCGTGATCCGTATTAACACTTGGCTGGTTGGAGTTCTGCAGGGGCTCATCATCATTTCTATTTAAGAATATAATGAGAATACAGCAGTCTTCAAGTCACACTGCTTGGAATAGGATGGGATCCTCGATCAATATGGAGGCCTCTGTGGCGCAGGCACTGTCCACTCAGTGGCCGGAATGGGTTTTGCACTAGCCCCTCTGGCCACTCTTCTAGCTATATCTCTGTCACAGAATCAATGAAACTTGTAGTTTGGAAATAATAGTTCTGGATCATGATCAAATCTTGGCCTCATTAGCAATAGAATCTGTTCAACCGAGGGAGGTAATTCATGGAGTCTGGCTCAAAGTAGGTGAAGTTGGTACCTTCTGTTTGAGAGACCCCACTGAGGCCCCAGAGGCCTCAAAATACCTTCCCTGTTGTCTCACTTTGGCTCATCTTTGCCTCATACCTGGGCTGAAATTATTCTGATTACCTATTTATACAATCCCCAGTATCTGTGGATGTGACTCTACTGGAGAATGCAGATGTGATCAAGTTAAGATGAGGTCCAACTAGAGTCACATGGGTTCAGATCTAATATGACTAGTGTCTTTATAAGAAGAGAAGAGGGGCGCCTGGGTAGCTCAGTCGTTGGGTGTCTGCCTTTGGCTCAGGTCATGATCCCAGGGTCCTGAGGTCGAGCCCTGCATCGGGCTCCCTGCTTGGCGGGAGGCCTGCTTCTCCCTCTTCCGCTCCCCCTGCTTGTGTTCCCTCTCTCGCTGTGTCTCTCTCTGTCAAATAAATAAATAAAATCTTAAAAAAACAAAAAAAGAAGAAGAGAAGAGACACAGAGACACTGAGGGAGGAGGATGCCATGTCCTGACAGAGACAGAGACTGGTGTGATGTGTCTATAAGCCAGGGAATGTCAAGGACGGCCAGCAATGCCAGACGCTAAGAGGCATAAGACAGATTCTCACCGAGAGCCTTCAGAGAGAGGAAGGCCCTGCTAACACTTTGATCTCATATTTCCAGCTTCCTGAACTAGGAGAGAATACATTTCTGTTGTGTGAAGCCACCAGGTTGTGGTAATTTAAGGCAGTGCTAGGAGACCAACACACTGGTGGGAAAGGCTGGCTTGATGAAGGAGTGTAAGTTCCCATGGAACTAGAAAGCAGGGCACCATCTCCCCTGGTTGTAGGTCAGAGGCGGGAGCCACCGACAACTCTGTGTGGGTAACTTTTCAGGCCTGGGGATTGTTCTACCAGGGAGAGGCTGCTGCAAGCCAGGCAGAATTCTGCTAAGGCTCTGGGGCATTACCTTCAGGAGGAGCCCAAGATCACTGAGCAGAACCGCACAACTTACAAAGGATCAGGTGCTTGGATGGGTGCCCCCCAAAGGAAGATGGCTTCACTTTGTCTTCTGTACAACTATGCCCAGGGCCATTTCCCTACCAAGAGACACTGGCCAACTCTTCCTTCTGTGAAATCTAGCAATTAATTGACCCAATGCCTGTCCCTTGTCTAGCTGATCTTGTCCCACTCTTCTTAGGGTGAACTTACATTCTCCATTCTGATTTTTCCACCTCCAACACTGCCTATCTCTGTGTGTATGTCCTGCTGGGAAGATAGTTCAGAGAGCCAATCTAGCTGCCTTTTGTCTACTCATCCCATTAGATGCCTAATAAATGTTGGTTAACAGATTCTTATTTTTCATCCAGAAACAGATGTCCTTTGGAATGAATGCTGTAGTGAATTATCCAGAATGCCCCTCAGGATGGAGGTATTTATTCTTCCAGCTCCTGGGCATGCAGAGCAAGGTGAGTCCTTCCCTGGGATTGCCTTTACCGGGAGAAAGCTGCTTTGATCAAGTTATTTAATGAGTGGTCAGTCTAGGAGTGCAAAGGCTGGCCCCCTCGCCTAATATCAGGACAGCCATAGGACTGGCTGAGACCTTTGTTGATGAGCCACATCGATGTTTGACTCTTCCATCTGCCCAGTCTTACTCCCCTGGCTTTTGGACAGGTCTTGCTCCTGAGAACATTCCCCAGTAAACACCTCCCACATCAAAATCTCAGAATCTGTTTTCCAGGAAACCTGATCTAAGACATCTTTCAACTTGTTAATACAGGAGGAAGAAATATATTAACCATACTTATCCATATAAAATCTGAAATACATCGAGCAGTGGGTGGTAAAATAAAATGCCACCGTATCTCCACGTTGTCTCCATTCTCAGCCTAATGGCTGCATCTTCAAGGTTCTACAGCTCCTCAGGGGCTCATGAGTTCTGAGCCCAGTGTAACTGCTCAGTAAACACTTGCTGAATCTGGTAATGGATGAGTGTTCATGGAATTCAGCTTGGGCCTAGGATGAGCTAAAGATATTTCAAAGAGTTTTCTTTGCCTCTTTGTAATGGAGAGGAGGGTCTTTGGAGGGTGTATTAGTTCCTTAGGTTGTAATAAAGTAACACAAACCAAGTGGCTTAAATAACATCATAGTTCTGGAGAAGAGAGGTCTGAAATCCAGGTATCAGTAGGGCCCTGCTCCCTCTGAAGGCTTTGGGGAAGGATCTATTCCATGTTTCTCCCCTAGCTACCACTGGTTTATGGGCAATCTTTGACGTTCCTTGGTTAATAGAAACATCACCCTGGTCTGCGTCTTCATGTTCATGTGGCATTCTCCCCATGTGTGTGTTTCTGTGTCCAAAGTTCCCCTTTTTATACCAGCTATTGGAGGAAGGACCCATTTTACATCAATCTGAACTCACCCTGGCTTAACTAATTATATCTTCCATGACCCTATTTCCAAATAAATTCACATTCTGAGGTACTAATGGTTAGGCCTTCAACATACGAATTTTGGGGGTGGGAGGGCACACGACCTAACCCGTAACAGAGTTTGTCTATAACCATTTTCTGTGCAGGCTCTAGTTTTTGCTTCAAAAATCCCAGATTTTCTGCCATGCTCTGTGGTAGAAATATTGTAAATACCATCCTTTGATTACTTTATGTAAGCACTGATAGTCCAATCCTGTGCTGCAAAGATTTACCTTCACTTTCACTGGGCTTCCTCTGCCTCTTTTGAGCACGTCCTTAATCACCTACCAGAATGACATTGTTACAAAGGTGCCCAAGTCTGTCTCACTAGTCTATGTCCCTAAGTTATTGCTGTCTACATATCTGAGATTTCTCCCACTAGTCTTTCTGCATCTGAGAGTCTTCAACCTACCCTCTTCCCCGATATCTCTGTAGAGTGGTCCTCCACCTTGACTGCCTATGGAACCACCTACCTGCAAAGGCTTTGCAAATCCTGTGGCCTGGGACCTGCCTATCTTCCCAGGGGATCCAATGTACACCTGGGTTGTGTCGTCTGGGTTATAGGTAGCTCCTACCTGTCCCACTACAATTCTGATTATACTCTTATTTTAGAAAACTAGGTAATTTTGCATTTCAAAAAAAATTTTTTTAAAGATTTTATTTATTGATTGATTTATTTATTTATTTATTTGAGAGAGAGAGAAAGGGAGGGAGAGCATAAGCTGGGGGGAGGGGAGAAGCAGACTCCCCACTGAGTGGGGAGCCCAAGGCCGGGATCAATTCCAGGACCCTGAGATCATGACCTGAGCTGAAGGCAGACGCTTAAACAATTGAGCCACCCAGGCGCCCCGCATTTCAAAAGTTTTGGTAAAGGTTTTCCATATCTTTTCCTTTGTTCTTAGCAAACAGTTTTATCTCACAGCTACTCAAGAACAGAAAGCAGAAGAGAGTGGCCTCCAGGTTGTTTGCTCCCACAAGTGATATTGAGAAATATGTAACAAGCAGGGGCTACTGACCAATCAGATCACTAGCAAAGGTAGACAGCCAAGGTCTCACTGAACAAACATTAGCCCTGTTTATTCTTCTCCCTCTATTTACCAGAGAACCAAAAAGTGGAGCTGTGGAGGGAAAAGGAAGAAAACTCATCATTCTTGCTGTTCTTTGCTTGCTCAGAGTCATGAGACACTGAGACCCCCAAGAGATGAAACCACAGGTCCCCAGAGCTGTCCTGCTCCCTGAACGGAGGGGGACTGCAGGTATGACCCCAGAACTTTGAGAAGCAAGTAAGATAGAGGCTTCTCTACTTTCAATTAATTTAGGTAAGATTTTATCCCCTAAAATTATGATCCATAGCCTTATGATGCTTTTCTGATGTTGTTACCTCTGGAAAACATGTCTCAGGCTCGCCTTCACTCTAACAGAACCAAGCCTAGATTTGGAGATTTACTCCATTCCCTTCTCCAGCATGACACGTGAATCAAGAAGTTCAGAGTCCAGATATTTTATTTTTTTAACCTGGACCCTGGGAAATGAAAGACAGACCTGTCTGAGTTTATCTTCCTTCATTGCTGGGCAATTGCTTTGACCTCTTGACGTTGCATCTAGCCAAGAAATTCCTCCATGGGCAGCTACAGCATTGCCCCATTGAGCAAATGTTGATTTAACCTTTCCGGTCTCCACCCGCGACCAAGTTGTGAAAAGAGGGAGAACCTTGTTTTTGTTTACTGTTTGTTGTTCCGAGTATTTATAGGAAATTGCAATATTACTTTTCCACAGGAATCAATCACTGTATTGCCACTTTCACAAGCTGGAAGTGGAGAAAAGATATTTTTGGTTCTAGAAAAATGGTTCTAATGCCCTATTGCTGTTTTTCAATTTCCTGTTTCATGCTTAAGAAGATTTTTTTTACCGTCCATTAATTTTGCTACAAAATACTATTTACCTTAAATAACAAAGACCAAAAATTAATTCGGTCTGCATAGTGCCTTTCCTCTCATGATTTCAAATCATTCTTAAAATAAATCACATATATGCACAGGTTGTTTTTTTTTCCCTCATTTTCTTTTTCCTGCCAGTCTTTTAAAAAATTTTTGATAAAATAAAAACAAACATCCAACATGAACTATCCTTAAAACTTTAAAGTCCAGAACAGAATATGATAACACAATAAATAAACACTGTTCAGTCCGAATAAACACATCTTCCTTTTAAAAAATTAAAGTAGTTTTTGGGGTGCCTGGGTAACAGTCGGTTGGACATCTGACTCTTGATTTCAGCTCAGGTCATGAGATTGGGCCCCGCATCAGGCTCTGTGCTAGGCGTGGAGCTTGCTTGGGATTCTCTCTCTCTCTGCCCCTCCCACTCCCCCCCCCAAAAAAAAAAAAAAAAAAAAAAAAAGAAAAAAAGAAAGAAAGAAAGAAAGAAAGAAAGAAAGAAAGAAAGAAAGAAAGAAAATTTAAAGTGGTTTCCATTGTGATCTGCATAATTTGTTTGTTGTATTTCCAATATTTCTGCTGCTAGAATATAGCTTCTGACTGAAGTTAATTCTGTCACATGTTATTATCTGAAAGTTTTCCTTTTGTAGTTTCTAATTTGGTTTAATTTGGAGAAAGAACATTCTCTGTAGATAGAATGACAATGAAAAAGAACATATTTTAGCAAAACTTGTATACATGCCACTCTGTTATGTAATAAACGTTTCAGCAAATTCCTGGATACTTACAAGCTTTTTACTATCACTCGTTAATGAGTTTATGCAAAGCAGTAATACTTTGGTAAGTGATTCATTATTCACTTGAATTTTGGGGGGTTTTCTGAGCATTTGTCATAATGAATCTTTTAAATAACTATTTTATTAAAGACAAATTCAACCGAAGAACAGTTCTGCCTATTTTGAGTGGCATATCGCAATATTGCCATGATATTGACTTGATGAGGATTTGCTTTTCTGATTGCTTTTTAAATTAGGAAAGTAATATTTGCTCAGGTTTTTGGGGAGGTTCAAATGGCTCCCCAGGCACTCTCTTTTATTAGACTTTTTTAAAAGTGTCTTTTAAAGTATAACACATACATTAAAATGCACAGATTATAAGTGTACAACTCAATGAATGATACCAAAGTGAACACCTAGATGAACAACAATGTTTTTGGAACTGCTTTTAGAGAAACTCTGAGATTTTTGTACTTATTTTCAAATATACATTGACTTAATTTTTCTCTTCTATTAGCCAAGGCTTTTTCTTTTCTATCTGGCCTTCTGGGAGATATCCTTTACTTTTATTAACTATGCCCCTAACCTTGTGTTCAACTCCTTCCATTCCATTATGTAACCCCGTCATTGAGTTTTTTAAAAATTCTGATAATGAGCTTTGCGCAGTGGCAGTATCGTAGCCAAAGAGGTTTATCCGAGGCGTGATTATTGCTAATTGAAAAATTCTGATAATGATTTGAAATTTCCAATCGTTCTTTCTTGTTCCTTAATTGACCCCCTTTGTCCCCATAGCAGCCAGTACTTGCTTTAAGGATGCCATAGCCAGTGAAATTGCTCTGAGAATAATAAATAATCTCTTGTGAGTTGTTTGGGTCTGTTTCCTCCAAGACCACTCTGTGTTCATGATAGTTTTTATTTTGCCTCTCGTTTATTTTCTTCAAATGCCTGTGATCTTTTGTCAACTATTTATGTGAGTGAAGAACTATGTGGATTAATATGGGTCAATGGAATGGATTTCACTAATAACTGTGCTTACTTAGAAGGCAATTTTCTGAATCAGAAAGTGGATTACAGCTCTGTGTGAATGGGCAGATTCACCACAGACAAGCTTCCATTTAGCAGATCAGTCTGTATATGGAGCAGGAAGGGAGGGTGTGAGTGGCCAGGCCATTCTGTGGTTTGTCTGTGGTGAGGTTACCCACCCCGATCACTGCCTTAGATCCATGTTCATTCTTTTTACCCCCTGGCTGCAAGCTTGGAGGCTATCTAGCTGAGGATCATGGTCAAATCT